AAGAAAGTGTCTTTGCTGTTTTGGGGACGGGAAATTTTCCATTATGCTTTTTTCTAGGGATGCACGATGTATTGACATTAACATCGGTTTTGTCCAATATTGGTTGTTTTTTAGAATATCGTATCAGTCTGTTTAGTAAAACTGGGCCGTTATTACTGTCCGATATTGATTTCCCACTTTTTAGCTTTGTGGTTCTGTTTTGGGAGGGGAAATGGTTGGTTGAGTGATGTCTGTTTGATCATGATAGTGATGCTGCGCAGCCAGGATTAACTGTAGTAGAAAGCCATGTCAGCAGTGTGGTCATTTTTTCATGGTATCAATAAAAATCACAAGTGGATTTATGCATTTATGTATATAAATAGTTTGTGTGTTTGCGTAATATCGGTAAATATCGGTTATCGGCCTTAACACCAATAATATTTGATGTCAATATCAGCTGAAATTTTCATACCGGTGCATCCCTACTTTTTTATTTTTCCTCTATTAATTTTTTTCCTAAATGGGTTGACTACTTTTACTTCAGACTTGTTTTGATCACTTTTTATCTATCTTGTGAACAATCTTTGCTATATTTTGGAGAATTATACTGCTGCATCTGAGTTGTTGCTATAAACCTAAGAAAAAAAAGTTGTTTTACATGAGCAAACGTTTGAAGGGTGACATCATGACGTTAGATGGCAAGGCACAAGAAATATAAGCAAGGTAACATGCTTTAGGCCAACCGAAAAAGTTTAAAACGTGGTAAATGAAGTCACAAAAAAACACAGTGCTGACGGTTAATCACATACCCAACCCAGCAGAGAATCCCTTCCTTTTAGTGTAGACGTTATTTAAAGATAGAATCATTTTCATGTTACAGTATGTTTTCTGTTGAAGTCAGGTTTATAAATGAGGCCCCAAATCTGTTACTAATAGAGAACAGATCTCAGAGCCTCCTGCGTGCACAACCATGCTATTTCTCAGCCACCACCTTTGTCCTCTGGCTATCGCTCGTCATAATTTGAGCTTCCCATTTGCTCCTGTGTGAACAATTGCGAACTGCGAGACAGGAGGAGGAATGCTGGGCTATTTTAGGCATGAAACATCAGATGTTGCGGTTTTCTGAGGCAGGCTAGAGGAGGGGTCTGCGTGTTTCCCCTGGCTGTCTGTCTAGTCGCTGACTGCTCACTGTGAGTGGGTGTCTGTGTTCAATTAGCTCCATAAAGGAAGAGAGGCCTCTTTTCTAATGTCGCCAAGCATGACGACACCTACAGTAGTCGGTAGATTCTGTTTGCGTAAGGTTGTTTCTGTCTTTTTCCCTCCAGGTGTTCCAACAGATGATCTTGGACTTCACTTCTGTTGTCTGGCTGATTCATTCTGTGGTGATGCAGGGGGGAGGAGGAAAGCACTCAGATCTTTTTTTTATTAGACTACATCAAACTACTTTAAAGTAGTTTGCTTTTTTCTAACATTCTAATATGTGCTAAGCGCATTTAAAGGTTTTTTATGGCAACTAAAGTGCATTACCTATGTCATTCTGTTTGTACTTGAAGATTAAAACCCAGTTCTGGCCCCAGTACATCCGAACAGGAAATGGCAGAGTCGTCACACAGCGAGGCGGCCACTGCAGAGGTGGGCCACATCTGGAAATCTGCTCACATGATTGGAAATTATGAACGGATTAAATGTTCTTATGAAATCACAGGGCCATGGAAAGTTCCGATTATTCTCATGGAATACACGTTTAATGAACTATCTTTCCAAAATTTAGGTACAGAGATTTCCTGTCATAATTTAATGAAAAATGTGCCAGTGCCTTCATCTGTTTGAACTTAATTCAGACATATGTAAGCTTTTTTTGTGTTAGACTTACTGCTTTTACAGATTACTTCCTGATTGTCTACTGTCTCAAAAAAATAAAAAAACATCAACAACAACAACAAAAACAATGTTCACTATTTAAATGAAGAATGAATGAATATATTATTGATCCCATGAAGGGAAACTACAGTTCATTATTATAATTATTTGTCTCATTCATTGATTTAGCCACAGACTGAAAGGTTAGACAGTCACGAAACAGGAATTTATCACTCTGATTCATTGCTACTGACTACTGACAGTTTATGTCATGGTTTTCCCCGAGTTCAGCTGTCTACGCGTTTCCATTTCCTTGATCCACTGGAATAACATCTGGAGCCCTTGAAACCACACTTCTCTTTTGTTTGCCTAAAGGAAACATTTCCCGTATTACTTTTGAAACACGTTTTGGATACAATTCTGAAATACTGTAAAAAGACAACCTTGTGTAACCAGTCCGAACAGTGAGGAAACTCGTAAAACAAAAAAGTAAATTGTAGTTAACTCTTTAGGACATCTTGAAATTCATGAGCGTGTTTGAAGGATTGAGGGGCTGCAGCCTTGATCCACGCTAAAACCATTTTGCGGGGAGTTGCGTTTGAAAGAGTTATCGTGGGCAGAGCTGGGCAGGAGGGTTGGGCACAAGGAGCAAGCCTGGGGGGGGGAGCTGTTTTTGGAGTCTGCCACAGAAAGGGGTGGGTTTAAGGATAGATTTAGTGTCGAGACCGGCACATGGTGGTTGAGTGGGGGATGTCGGTGGAAAGAGAAAGGGAAAGAAGGATCTGTGGCTCTTGAGCTCGAGCTGCCAGCTGTGTTCAGAGAGAGCAGGAATGTGGTTCGGCGTGGGAATGAAGATGCTCTGACAAGCTGAAACACACTCTTAAGACTTGATAAATGTATGAACTACACTCTGGCTGAATGATGAAAATATCTCGTGAGTATTCAGTGAAGTTTTTACTATGTTTGAGAATATTTGAGAATTAAAATTGATCATGACTGAAGGATTGCTTTACTTTGCTGGTAACATAAATATTTGAAACGTGTTTCGGCGCTGTCAAGAGTTTGTTTATGTTTTCCTTCATCACTATGTTACGTGTCCTGTCTATGTTGTGTTATATAATCATTGTTCTTTTTATAGAACGTTGAAGTTGTCTTTTCCATAGATACTTCACACATACACAGCTTTTGGCGTTCCGGGCCATTGTGTTGTGGCAAAACTGGGTTTCATCTCTTTGTGAGATTGTAACGCTACACTGTACACAGCTTTTAAAGCTTTTGGGTGGTGGAGAGCAAACACAAGTTCTCATTCTTTGGCATCATGCCCACCCAGCCTTTTATCCACATGAGACTTCCTTAGACAGAGGATGAGAGGACAGAATGTCTCACTATCATGTTACAGAATGCAAAACAGAGGGATTCCCAGCTCGTGTTACTTTTCTCTCAGTGGTCCAACCCGAGGCTGTGGGACACAAGAGGACCTGACAGGGCTCTCACTATGTGCTGCAGCTGAATAATACAGGTCTGATATTATCCACCTGGGAGGGAGGTGTAGCTGAAAAGGAAGCCTTTAGCTTATGCTGATGTAGGTGGGAACAGAGCAGAGAGGCTCCTGGCAGCATATACACATTGACTCTGCTGGTTAAGGGGGTAAACAGTGGGCTTTTCTGACATCCAAGGACACAGGGAACTGTTAATATTTATTCAGTTGCTGGTCTGCCAACCAAAGTCAGTTTTCTTTTTTGTTGATTTTTGGGTTACACTGAAGTGAAGCAGCACAGGTGAGTCATAAATCACCATTTAAACAACGTATGGCAGCAGAATCTTCATCACAGCTCTGCAGTAGGTGAAACGACAGAGCGGTGTGATGTGTGACGGTGGTTTCAGCGGTTTTTCGTGTGTTGGGAAGAAAGTGAGATCTGGGATGTGTGATCCGTTTGTCACCTATGTGTTAGTTCTCCTGCATGTGTTTATTCTCTTCCACTCAAAGAGTCTTTACATAGAGGAAAGCTTGTTAAACCACTGATGTGTGTTGAAACATTTTAACTGTGTGGTTTTAAAAACACACTGGGACTGATGAGAATATACGGTGTAATGTAGCTTTTGAGAGGCTGATTTTGGTCAATTGTTTCTATTTTGTTTTATTTTATTTATTTATTGTTGCTGGCCTTTATATTTCTTTTTAATCAGGGTTGGGCAAATGCTTTGTTTAAGTTTGAATCAGTGCTGTTGTTCCCAAAATGACCTAAAGAAAACACATTTTAATTAAAAACTGATGGGTGTCCCTAAAAAAAAAACACTTTTTTTTCTTGTGTGTGAAGAATCTTATAAACAAGTTGCATTTTACACCTTTTTCATATTTACACAACATAATTATACTTACTTAATTTAAAACAGCCTGTGTGTTGTGTCACCAATGTGTCAGACATCATGTCTCGCGGAGGCGGTAAATGACAAACTTAATTAGCATTAATGGAAAGGTGCCAGCAGTTTGTTTCCCCCTTTGGGCCACCACCGGTTCTGAAGTTTGCAGATCAACCTCTGTAGGTCAGCAGGACCGGTTCAGGATCCAGACTCCAGGGTCACTTCTCTTTTACTTGTTTGCCTGCTCTGAGCCGCAAACAGGTCTGATAAAGATTTAAACCTAATCAAATCGTTTCTGACATTTCCCATCGCCTGACAACAGAAGGTGAAGGCGGACGTTCCATAGAACTGATTCATTTTTGGAATCAACCTGATTCAAGATGGCTGCCACAGCCATATGACTTAAAAAAACACAGAAATGGGCATATTTCACTTTGTTTTAAAGATTCACAACACATGCCTGCTGTCAAATGAGATGGTGAATATGATATTTTCATGGTTTAATCAAATGGCTCCCATCCCATCAGGTGGGCGATATGCATTGTTTTAAAGAATGCTAGGTCTTTCATTTTATTATGTTTTGATTAATATTAATCTCTTTAATGATTTCATTTAGAAATAAGAAACCGTTTCATCCTATTTCAGTGTTTACGGGGGTTTTCAGCATCCATTCTGTGCCTGTAGGATGAAAGCTGCAAAGAGGGTTTTAAAGTGTTTTGGTTGATTCACTGTTGGTTTTTGAAAATGAATGCATTTAATGTGGTTGATTTTCACTCTTTATCTCTGTTTTTGCCTTTCAGAATTTGAAGCAAAAGAGGCGTGTGACTGGCTGCGGGCAGCAGGGTTTCCCCAGTACGCTCAGCTCTTTGAAGGTAATAAAAGCACTCAGAAAACTCCCTCACACCTACATCACAGGGGGGAGAGTTGCTCCGTTAAAAGATAAATATTAAAAGCAGAAGTAGCTCACAGATAACAACCTACTGCAATAAAGCACTTTTTTTATTATTGATCTACAGCGATATGTGAGAGCATGACTGCGGCATTTTAAAGTGTCTGGTCTGTAACCAACATTGTCCACAAAAACATGTATTCATGTGCTGCACAGTGGGCCTTATTTACACAAAAGTTCTTGGAAAGCCTTCTAAGGGCACCAGGTTTCTTTTTTTTTTCTAGACAGCAAAACAAATGGAACATCAGATGTTTTAAAATCCTATCTTTTCCAAGCAATGATTACTTTTTAAAAAAAGCCTCCTGTGCTTTGACGCCTGAAGTCATGGGAAGAAGTGGGGTTTTATCAGAACTTTTAAGGAGCTCCACTCCCACAGGTCTTTTTGTCGGGGCCAGAATTTTGATGTGCTTTAGTGGAATATGGTTATTTCCTGACAGTAAAAGGAGTGAGGAAACTTCAGAAGAGAGCAGTGATAATCCTGTCAAAGTGCGAAGACCTTCCTGATCATGATGATGTTGATGATGATGATGTGTTAAAAAATACATTAATAACATGTCTTTAATGGGAAATGCACAACTTGACATTAATGTCAAGGAATGTTCGATTCAGTCTTTTGAGTTATGTAAGAAGTTGTTCATGGTCTGAACAAGCCTGAGAGCTGCTCTTTAAGTCAGTTCTGCCTCTTCTAATTACCATCACAGAGTTTTGTGGTCTTCCTTTACTTGCAGAAATAATTTTATTAAATCCCAAAAACTAAACGTAAGCTTAGAGGGGACCATGCCTTCTCCACTGCTGCTCCTAAAATGTGGAACAACCTGCCTTTGGGCATCAGACAGGCCACTCCCGTGTCGGCTTTTAAAACGCTACTGAAAACCCATCTCTTCTCTTTGGCTTTTGGCACCATCTGAGATGTTGACTTTTAGTTTGTTTTGAGATTATTTTAATTTGTTTTAATTGGATTATGTGTTTGTTTTATCGTATAGTTTTAACTTTTGGATTTGGCTTTTATTATGTGCTGTGACTGTTGTGTGTTTTATTGACTGTGACTGTACAGCACTTTGGTCCTATGGTTGTTTAAGTGCTTTATAAATAAAGTTGGTATGGTGTGGTATGGTATGGTATGGTATGGTATGGTATGGTATGGTATGGTATGGTATGGTATGGTATGGTATGGTATGGTATAATTTGATCCATTTCTGGTACTCTTTGTATTGAACAAAATGATGATAAGTGCAATTTCAACACAACCACTCCTGATTTCATGTTTTATTTCCTTCAGACTCCCAGTTTCCCATTGACATTACACCTGTGAAAAGAGATCACGACTTTCTGGACAAAGATCTGGTGGAAACTCTGTGCAAGTAAGCAGACATTATGACACAAAAGATGGCACCAAATCCATGAGTCAGCAGTACAACACACATTTTCCCCGCTTTAAGAAAGTGGAACTTGTAAAAATCCCCATATTAAGTTAAAAATAAAACACTTTGCGCATTACCTAATGCTTAAAACACGTCGTGCCGTGTTTTCTTGCCTAAATTAGGTGTAAGAATCTCACACATAAAAGGAAAACGTCCCACTTTGTGCTTTTATACTTATTAAATTGACATTAATGAATTAGTACTCTCTGACAGGTTTATTATTTTTGCACATCTTTTTGATGTTTTTTTTTATTTGAGATGAAAGCAAAGAATAAAAAAATGTACATTAAACCAACAACTGGTGGCTCCACATCATGCTCTTTCAGTGCCCATGTGGATTTTTTTAAGCCAAATTGAAAAAAAAAAAGGACTTCAGTGGCTATGGCAACGATCCAAAAAGGGAAGCAGGAGAGGCATTAGTGGTGCCTCGCACAGCTCAATATACTGTGACTCTAAACAACCCTAAAGCAACTCATTTAAATTCCAAACTAGCCATGACATGAATAGAAGACAATCGGAAACAGTTCCACCTCCTGAGTGACTTTGTCCACGACTTTTCAGCATCCCTACGGTAACTTCAAAAAATGCTCTTTAGTCCGTTATGCCCGTACAGTCCTGGAACAAAAATAAAAACGAGCCTACATGCCGTGCATGATTTTTAATTTTTTTTATTTATTTATCTTTGATTGCAATGAAACCGATAGACATTTCATACATAGAAGTGATGTCTATAATCACTGCATAAGCAGCGTCCTCTTTTAGCAACCACATTTAAAGCTCTCCAGGCCCGTGGCGTAAAAAAGCCCCCAGCTTAGAAATTCTCTCATCAGTTGTGTCCCTTTATCCTCGGTAACAATCATGGGAACATCTTGTTTTTATAACCTCTATCATCTACAGTCGGCACACAGTTAAAGCCTCCATCACGGTCTTGTCACAGACAGCTATTGTCAGTGCTTAAAAAAAGACGGCTCGCCGTGTCAGGAGCAGTTAAAGCCTGCGATTATCTTACAATAAGTTGGTTTCCCTTTTTTCTTCAACAAGGACTTCGTTGAGCTGCGGCTTGCTTTGTCATTTCGCCATATTTTCTCTGCACTGAGCTATCTTGGGAGGTTTTGTGTGACATATATATTCCGCTTGTCGTACTTACAAACCTGAACTAAACTCTAAACATAGAGTCCGTTTTAAAAGCTTTGGTGTTTACAGTTAAATACAGATTTGATAAATATAACTCTGCTCTGTCTCTATGAGACTTACATAACCATGTTTTAAAGAGACTTACATCAGCATTCAGCCGAGCTTACACTGTATGTGAAGCAATGTCTTTCTTTAAAATCTTACACAATCCTTCAAAACACAGATTCTTTGGTCCAAACTCAAAAGAAAGGTCATCAGATAAACAGCAATGCTTATTGAGTTTTAGGTTATTATAGTATTGATAGACTGAGATTTTTCTTATCTGTCTCATTTGTGCATGCAGAGCAGAAAATGATCAGAATAACCCTTAATCACACCCTAGTCCGCTCATTATGAAACTATTGTTTTATCTCATTCACTCAGCACAGTTTTTACCTTTTGGATATTTTTCTTTCAGGCGGCTTAACACACTGAACAAATGTGCTTCTATGAAGCTTGACGTTAATCTTCCAAAGAAAAAAGTAAGTAATAAGTTTTCAAAAATTTTCAGTGAATTTATATTTATTTTTGTTGATCTTACTGTATTGTGCTTTTTAAAATCCAAGCTATTTTATTTAATTAAAGGCTATTTGAATGGATGTTTAAATGCCAACTATGTGTATGCGTTGCTTTTTAAAACTGTCAGAATATAACTATTTGTAGGTTTTTTTGTGGTTTATAAAATAGCATCTGTTTAAATATCATTATGACGATGTCAACATTTTAAGAGTCGGTGCTTCAGTAAGAATTGATGTTGGACAGCATAAAGCTATTGCACGGACAGTACTTCCTGCTTAAATACAAATATAACCTGTTTCGTCTTTATTTTAATCTATATAAGAGTGCCACCCAGGCTATCTTCAGTATTCTTTTTACTCTCTGTTTGTTCCCAGATTGAAATGTAGCCTGCCGACATAAATGGCTTTTTTCTGTCTTTATTGATTTATTGGAAAGTCTTCACCCTGATGATCTATTCACAATTTTTTCTCCGTTGGCTAAATGCACAACATTTATAGTTATTAAATGTGAGCTAATGTGGGAAAAAACAACAACAACTCTGAGTAGAGACTGGAGAAAAGATACGGATGAGATCATTGTCTTTTTTATATTTTAGTCACCTGCAGAGAATAAACAAATAATTCATAGGCTCACTTTTCTCGACAAACATTGCTAAAAAAGCGATCTGGCATCTGTGATACCGAAAATACTATTTGAGAAAGTTAATGAGATTTTATCTCACAAAAAACATACAGATGAAGGAGCAGCTGCTATTATTACAGAGACATTTCCTAACTTAACAAACCCTTTGTGTCTGGTATAAAATTATTTCTAAAAGCAGATTTAGATTTTAAGTGTTTAGATCTAAAGCTCAGCAAAATCCAGAAAAAAAAGAAATCCTGTATTTGTGTCACACAGAGTGAGGCTCATGAATCTATAGCAAAATGTTGATTAAAATGGCCGTTTTCATTCATAGCCAACATATTATCCAGCTGTTCCTAACAATTACACCAAACTGCACACAGTAAATGTGTGATGCTACGCAGGACTTACCTTTTGACAGCCACTTGATGTCCTGAAATATTTCTCCCCAGAGTGAAGACTCCGATGAAGACGACCTGTTTGCAATCAGTGATAAATGGACGTTTGAGTGGAGCAGCCGCCGTTGGTCCAGGTTACAGGACATCGACTCTCTGCTTCGAAAGCATGGAGAGGGCCAGACCTCCAAGGACAGCATTCCCCTGAGAGCCACCACCAGCAGTGAGAGTGTTCTGACAGACCTCAGCGAGCCGGAGGTTTCTTCTTTGCACAGCGAAAGCAGCGCGGGGAGCGGCAACAGGGGCCTCAGCACAGAGGACTCGGACTGCTCTAACCGCCTCTGCTCGGACTCTGCAGCGATGCCAGACTGTACTTCTCTAACAATGCCTCACATATCCAAAGAATTGTCCCACTTCGGCTCTTTATCTAACAAGCATGGAAAGACGAGCCGCATCCGTGCCAAAGACTTCCTTAAGCGCATGGAGATCCTGAGGTCCCGAGGAACCCTGGGGAGGGGCCGCAAGACGTTGGTCATCAGCGCTCCCGTACTGCAGCAGGATGCTGAAGCACTGAAGAGACTGCAGTGTGTTGAGGTCCTAAATGGAGACGACGGTGCTCCAGAGCCCGCTTTCGCCAAAACCCTGCACCCCCAGTCTAGTAGTGAAGGTAGCAGCCATTCCAGCGGCAGCGCGGTCAGCACGCCGAGCCTGAAGGAACGCAAGCCTCATCGAGCTGACCACAAGCGCAGTGGCATGTATTTGGAGGACGTTGACGTTTTCTCAGGCGCCCAAGTTGCAGAACAAAACTGCAGAAATGAGTTTTGCTCCTACGAAGATTTGGTGGTCCACATTCCCAAAGACCATAAACCAGGAACCTTTCCCAAAGCACTGTCGATTGAAAGCCTTGCCCCAACCAATGGAGCCTCTATTAACTGGCACACTGGCAGCATGCACCTGGACTCGCCACTCATTTCCTACAGACAGGAACCCAGAGCTGTCACCCAGTGCTGCTCCAGAGGTAGCCGCATTAGTGTGTATGATAATGTTCCTGGGTCACATCTCTATGCCAGTACTGGAGACCTAATAGACTTAGAGAAAGAAGACTTATTCCCTCACCTGGATGACATACTGCTGCATGTAAATGGCCTTCAGCAGATCGTAGACCACTGGTCAAAAAACATATTACCTGGTGGTGATGGGGTGGTTAGCGATAAGGAAGAGAGAGCAGGCCTGCAGTCCTCGAGTCAAATCACGTTAGACTTTGAAGGAAGCTCTGTCACAGAAAGCCAGACTTCACCTGCTGATGGAGACAGAGACAAAGTATCACTAACTGAGACGGAGTCAACGAGGTTCAGGGAAAGGAGGGACTCTGGTGTCGGTGCTTCACTCACAAGACATAATAGGTAGGAGACTTGGAAAAATAAAACAAATAACTGCACAAAACTTTTTTGAGTGAACCAATTTTTTTTTGCATTTCATCTTTTTCTGTTGTAGGTTACGATGGCCCAGCTTTCAGATATCCAATCGCTTAAGTCATTCAGTGGCATCTCTGCAGATTACAAACCAATCAGCAGGCCAGCTGAGTTTGTTACAGAAGTTTTCTCTGCTGCGTCTTACTGCAATTATGGAAAAGTACTCCATGTCAAACAAGCATGGCTGGACTTGGTAAGTGCACTTTGGGACACATTAAATGTGATTCAAAGGAAAATTGTGTTCTATTCCAGGCCTCCTCTGTACACATTCATTGACTCAAATTTCCATACAGGCGTTGTTTCTTTATGTCTTAATCCCAAGTAGTGTGCATAGGCTGTGACGAATACCTATTATCATTTTCTTTATTGCTATTTCATATGAACTGAGTGTCTATGATTTGTATCCGTTTTTAAAGATGATATATTTATAACCCCTTTTAAGGTCTGTGCCAAAATTCATGAAGAGAATGAAGGTACCAGACTATAAAGACAAGAATGTGTTTGGAGTGCCACTCATAGTGCACGTGCATCGTACTGGACAGCCTCTTCCCCTCGGCCTACAGCAGGCCTTGCGATACCTGAGGAGCCAGTGTCTTGACCAGGTCAGAAACGGCACAACCATAAGGAGTGCTGTATTTCATAATCTACATTAACACCTAATAATATTCTTAAAATATAATGCTGTGTAAAAGAATTCCTGCAAAAATATTGATTTGGTGCTCAATACATTTAGAAGTCAAGCTAAATTTATGACTTGCGTTTGGTTTCCAGGTGGGTTTGTTTCGTAAATCAGGGGTGAAGTCCCGAATTCAGGCTCTGAGGCAGATGAATGAAAGCTCTCCAGAAAATGTGAACTACGAGGATCAGTCTGCCTATGACGTGGCGGACATGGTGAAGCAGTTCTTCAGGGATTTGCCCGAGCCCCTGCTCACCAGCAAGCTGGGGGAAACTTTTCTCCAAATATACCAGTGTAAGTAAACCTGTTGGCTTCTACAGATATGAGCATTTTCCTTGTTCTCCGTTAACATGTCTGCCAAGCAGAAATGATAAAATCGTATATTTTACACAGATGTGCCAAAGGACCAAAGGTTGCAAGCTGTTCAGGCAGCCATTATGCTGATGCCAGATGAGAACCGAGAGGTGCTGCAGACGCTCCTGTGTTTTCTCAGCGATGTCACCTCCTCCGTGGAGGAAAATCAGATGACACCCATGAACATCGCTGTGTGTCTGGCCCCCTCCCTCTTCCATCTCAACATAATGAAGAAGGACAATCTCTCACCAAAGTACGTTTTCTTTTTTTTTTCTTCCTCTTAAGTAACATTTAAAGTGAAGGATGCATTTTTTGGCTTGGCCTAAAAGAAAATAATGTACACAATTTGCGTGCCATCTGTTAACTCCTGTGTGATTATCTTCACCATGACTCCACGAAGCAAGGCATCAAATGAGTTTCAGATTTTGCTCAGCCCTCAGGGGCGCTTTGAATCTCTCTCTCTCTCTCTCTCTCTCTCTCTCTCTCTCTCTCTCTCTCTCTCTCTCTCTCTCTCTCTGTGTTCCTGATTTAAAAGGATACGGCTTTTTTATGCTTAACGTTTTATGAGATCATGCTGTGTACAAACAAAGCGAAGCCTAGTCCCTTAATTTCCCAAGATCAAATTTTCACAAAGCAGATCAAAAGGGTTTCCTACGGGGTGGAAAAGAGGTTTATATACTTTGTTTACTGGGGATGCTGCCCTGAAATCTCTGCTGGTCTAAACACTATTTTCTCCCCGCCATCACCAGGGCCATGCATAAGAAGTATGCCACGGGGAGACCAGACCAGAAAGACCTGAATGAAAACTTGGCAGCGACGCAGGGCCTGGCTCATATGATCATAGAGTGCAATCGCCTCTTTGAGGTAGAACCTGTAACCGATACGCTGCAAGGATTTCATGCCTTAGTGTAATACCTCTTTAATTATAATTGTATTGAATGGCACCTCATGCTTTTCTACACCCATTAGATCCCCCATGAAATGGTTACTCAATCGCGCAATTCATATGTGGAGGCTGACCTGCACGCGCCAACGATTGATGAGCTGTGCAAGCAGCTGGAGGACGATAATGGAACCTACCAAACACATATGGAGGGCAGACTTCAGAGTTTGCTGAAAGAGGCGCGAGAAAAGTCTAAATACTGGGTGTCGTGCAACAGCTCCGATAACACAGAGCTCTGCTACAAAAAGGTTAGTGATTTTTGTTCATTATTATTATGTTAAAAGAAAACTGGCGGAGGTGAAATGTTTGTCTCGTTGTATTATCCAGGTGGGAGACGGAAACCATTTGAGACGTTGGAGAGTGTCTGTGGAAGTGGAAGCTCCGCCCTCCGTCGTGTTGAACCGGGTGCTGCGAGAGCGCCACCTGTGGGACATGGACCTGCTGCAGTGGAAAGTGTGTGAGACGCTGGGCAAGCAGACAGAAGTGTTTCAGTATGTCCTCAGTCGTATGCCTCCCCATCCCAGCAGAGACTTTGTAGTTCTCAGGTTGGTAGTGAGTAAAAAAAAAAAATTAAAATATTAACAATGTGGCATTCTTTGTACTCATGTAGCCATAATACTAAATACTCTATCTCCCTTTTCAAGGTCTTGGAGAACAGACTTGCCCAAAGGTGCTTGCTCACTAGTTTCTGTATCCATAGAACATGAGGACTGTTCTCCTATAGGAGGTGTACGAGCTATAGTCCTGGAGTCCAACTACCTACTTGAACCTTGCGGCTCTGGAAAGTCCAGACTAACACACATCTGCAGAGTGGACTTAAAGTAAGTGCTCCAAAAAATGTGGTAGAATTTCAGAAGTATGTGTGCAGTAAATCTGATATTGTATTGAAAATATGTTTTATTTCTCAGGGGAAGAACGTCAGATTGGTACAACAAAGCGTTTGGTCATCTTTGTGCTGCAGAAGCTGCCCGGATCCGCAACTCCTTCCAGCCACTAATCACAGATGGACCAGAAACCAAAATCTGAAACTCTTTGTTCTGTCTTTTAAGCACTGACATCAAAATTGAGCCTTTGAGTCATTGCTAGCCGGCAGACACATGAACACAGACAATGCCCCAGAACTAAAGCACAGTTTTTTGTTTCATTTGTATTTTTTTTTAATGTACAAATGCTCTGAAAATAATTTCAGGCCTCTCTGTACTTGCACAATGACAAATGAGGACATTTTATAAGTGCTGAGCATAATTATTCAATAAGAATTTAATTATCCTGTAGGTGTCCTTGACATAATGTTTTTATTTACTTTCTTGGTGTTGCTGAACTTGCAAGAATAATTATCTTTAATATTATAAGTACATTGTTGTTGCATTCATTTACAATGTCTAGGACATTAAAACTGGTAAATGCTTCTGAGAAGCCTGTATATTATTCAGTTCAGAATTAAAGCTATAATTATTACAAGATTCACCCAAGTGTCTGTATATATTGTATGACTATACTGTAAATTCAAATAAATTGTACGTGTTGCACATATGAGCAAGAGTACAAAGTATATATATATATATGTTAATTTCTTAAATATTGATACCCAAAATGTATCAACCTTATTTTAATACACACAGTACAAGATTGCAAACTGGTTTTACTTTGCGTCAGTATTTAAATAGGTGTACATTTATAAAAATGACTTAAGGTTTGATTTGATCAAACCCGCTTTATGGTACTTTATTATGCAGTCAGGTACAGGAGACATTTTTGAAATAAAACTAATTATAACATTTGTGTGGACTGACATTTCATCTTCATATAAAGAATGTACCTCAGTTTTTTTGAGGGCATAATGTTTGTTATACTTTAACATGCTATATCGTAACACTGGACTCCAGTGTTTGGAGCCACCGAAGCATGTATCTGCTATTGTTCACTTCATACATGCTTGACCACAAAACCAGACTTTGTGAAGATGGTTGACAGCATAACCAAGATTTATCAGATTACAATGATGAAAGCTTGAATTGAGAGTAAATCACATATAATTTTAAAAGATAGTTAAAAAAAAGGCACATCTCTTCCTCCTGTTGAAGGATCCTAAAAATCATAGCTTACCTAATTTATTATTTGCATTGTGGTAATCTCCTACAGTTTTTTTTCTGTTTAACAATTAGACTAATCCTAATGTCCACCACACTTCATTTTCTCACAATGCATTCATTTGTTTTGCCCTGGAGTTAGAGGGACCTCTACTGGACATTTTAGAAAAGACGTTTGAAGGCATGCATTAAATGCAGTCCATATTTAAATATATTTTTTCTTAAATTATAGTTAATTATAGGAATGGTTTCACAGGTATAGCTCACAAACCCATACTGAGCTTTTAAAATATAAAATATCTGGGTAAATCTACAAATCTGCTTTTGATCATGATGCCTTTTTGTGATTAGCAACATCTATTGTGGCAACATTTGATCGTCACTTATAATAATGATATCAAAGTTAAGCTCCTTTTTAGAACTTTTTTCAGCCTTAACTTTAAGTTATGAGTGAGAAGACTCCAACACTAATGTATATACAGTATATAATGGGGAAGCACACATTATTACTATAATGAGGCAAACAGTACCTTCATCAGTACAGGAAGAGGCTCCCCAATGTGTTTTCTGTTTTGGCCTAGATTTATGGCTCGCTGATGTCTTCTTGTATAATTATTTCAACCTGAAATTTATCATTTTATAGTGCCTATGTAAAAAAATTACATGAAAAAAATTGAATATTTGAAGTTTATTATGATGTGTACAGAACAGATGTTGAACTCATTTTCACAGCGGGGGCATTAAAAATCTAAAAAGGGCAGAACTTGGCCATCATTTTCGAAGAAGAAATAAATACTGTAAGTTTGATGTGTTTCTCCAGATTTTCTTTTTCAGATTTGTCAGTTTGCCTGAGTCCTGGAAACTCAGGAGGTCTTAAAACTATCCCACTGGGAAATCACCTGGATAGAACAGGCCCATATTGACACTGAGCATTGCATAAATCATATAAAATTATATCAACTTACCTATAAGGTGGCATTATATATATATATATATATATATTTTTTTTTTTTTCCAGTTGCAACTGCCACACTGTGCCACCCACTAGAACCGCCCATGTGTTCAACTTTTAAGAAACACAAATTTAATTATTCAGATCTCCCTCTTTCTGATTAGATTGCAGGTGCCCTTTAAAACGTGTTGAGGCGTCTCAAAACACCGAAGTGGAAGTAATTAGTGGCTTATTATGAACACCTGCGCAACTTTGGGCTGCCATTGTTGTTTTGCCTTCATTTCCTGGAAGAGGACGTTAAAAAAAAAAGAGGAACGTGAGAAGAAATACCTACAGAAGCTTTCGTAAATACACGTTTTTTTTTTTTTTTGGTTTTTTTTTTTTTACGTTTATCTCTGGCGGATCGGCTGTATGAGCTCCAGCTTCACAGGAACCAGTGAGGGAGAGGAACCGCAGGCAGGGGGCGGAAACGCGGCGGTGGCAGCAGCTGTGGAGCGGAGACGCGCATCCCAACATATCAACACGCACGCACGCGTACACACACATCTTTGTGTTTGCAGCGCAGGTCGGTCAGCTCGGTTAACTGGTTGTAACCAACAACACACCAGAATCACCGGAACTCTCTAGAGTGGATGTAACCTCCAGGAAAAAGGCTTCTTTTTTGTGCTTTGCTTCTGTTTTTATCTTGCTTTGGCGAGTATTTTTCTTTTCTTTTTTTTTCTTTTTTTATTCTTTTTATTTTTTTTTTACCCCCCTTGGCAGCAGTAATTAGACAACGCATCAGCTGTGTCGGTTTGGGTGCAGAGGACGAGCGAGAACCCGGTGACCCATCATCATCATGCCGGGCACGCTGTCGCTCTCGGACCGTCAGCCTCCTCCAGGTCCCGGGCACCACGCTGCTGCCGCTGCCGCCGGTAAAACCATGATGATGTCCGGCTCGGGCTCAGTGGTCCTCCCGGCTGGGATGATCAATCCTGCTGTTCCCATCCGGGATATCAAGATGAAATTTGCTGTTCTCGTCGGACTCATCCAGGCTGGATCGGTCAGCAACCGGGATATTGTTGAAACGGTTCTCAATTTGGTAAGTGCACCTTTCCCCCCACGCTTATCATTGGACCTTATTGCACAAAATCTACTTCTGGAATGATATTTTCACAAGCTGCAAAATGACAAGACTGTTGATATTCCACGCTGCATGCAGTGTGTACATATTTGAACTTTGAGTGTAATAAATAATTTGCAGTACAAATGCCTCAAGAGGAAACATGAATGAAAACGGAGGCAGGCATTCATACAAGGTGTGCAGAGGGCTGAGGGGATTTAACAGCAAAGTCATTTCTGAAGTTTTCACTTCAGTAGAGTCCCAGCCTCCCTGTGTTGTAAAAATGAGGACAGTGTAGGTGAGTGTGTGTGTGTGTGTGTGTGTAGGTGTGTGGTGAACTTTGTAATGTGCAAATCTGCAGCTTTTGGATCTCCATTAATTGTAGTTCATCAGCAATGTGATAAAGCATGTTTCAGTTGTTTTCTGGTTTGCTTTTGCAGACCGCTCTTGCATCGTTATGGATTGAAAATGCACTGAAAGAATAAACAAGTAAAAAATTTTCAGTGGTTCAAACTAGAAAGACAGCGAATAGTTCCCACCTTGTGCTTTGGCCACCTGCAGGACCACAGTCTGTTTGCAGGAGTTGGCCTCTCCTTGTTAGTGCACTAGAGATTAATTACAACCTGTTCTAGCTCAACGGAGACCCACTTTGTGGAGCAGAACAAATTGTAGCCCTTGGCATGTTCAGACATGAGAGCATTACTGCAGTACTGACACCTTGGCCCCTCACACTTTGCAGTGTTGTTTTTCACAGAAATATGCACAAGAAATCACACTCTGCACTCTTAAACCCCTCCATCATCACTCACACACACACAAATAATCCAGACCCATTTGCGTGTTTTCAGTTGTTCAGTTGACCGTATGAAGGTTTTGATTTTTCTTCATGCTTTCAAATTTCAAATTTTCATACCACATACAGGTCCTGAACTGTTAAAAGGTGAATTTGATCAAAAAAATTTTCATTATGATGCAAATCTTTTATTGAAAATAGGCCAGTCTATATCTGCTCAACAAACAAAATTTAACCTCGATTAATGAAAACTTGACTACACTGCTGTAATTTCGTAATCAGATCACAGAAATAGCTGTTCTGTCTGTACCGTCATCCAAACTGCATCACAAATTTTACACACTACTGTCAGCTAAAATATGAAAACCTTATTATGTGTTTCTACGTCCTTTGCAGGGCAATTTTTTCCAAGTTTAAAAAAAAAACTAAAAAACTAAGAACTAATGGGTTTTAGTTTGTGGTTTATGGCATAATGCTTCCTTTCATCACAAAGCCACATCATGATGAAACGTAGGCTGGAGCATTTCAAGCTATAACGCAAAACCCTTTTTTTTTTTCTCACTCGCTTGTTTTTTTTTTTTTTTTTTTTAAAATTTTTTAAAAGTGGAGGGCTGAGGAAGCTCGTCCAG